AGGCCATGCCATCCAGCGAGCCCTTATCCAGCGAGGCCCATCGAAGAGAATGTGAAGGGTTCAGCTAGACGCCTTTTTGTTGAGAGGAGGAGGAATTCTAGAGAATGTCAGAACTGTATATAGCTAGACGCATTACAATTAATAAGGAAACACTACGGAGGATGCCTTTATCAGAGAAACGAATAGCTGCTTGCATTGTAATCAAGAGTGAAACCAGTACAAAGAGAATATCAAGGACACATCTGCTTGCATTGCAAACAAAAAAGGAAACCGAGCGGTCAAAAGCCCAATTAATACGAACAAAGCTTCATTTCACGGCCTGTCCTTTAATCTCGCATCTACCTACAACTGACTTGTCCTCAAGAGCTCCTTCAACTGCTCCCCCCTACGTCTCCTCCTTGCCCACTCTTGCTCTTCTTCTTCCTCCTTCTTCAAAAAACCTGCAACGTCCGCCATGGCACCCCCAAGTCTTTCCTCACACACCTCCTTGATCCTCGACGAGTTCCGCATTACCACCAAGACACGCTCGTACAACCTTAGCATATTCATCTCCTCGTCCGTCGCCTGCCGGCACATTCCTTTCAAATCCTTGATCCTAACCTCGACGTCCAACATCCACTTCTCGCGGTAAAAGTCGAACTGCTTCTCTTGCATAGTATTGTCGCGAAAGGCTTCTTCAGCCAATACTTGATCTTGTAGAGCTTTTGAGGCTTCGGCCTGGGATGCGTGAAAGGATTCCAAAGTTCGGAGGAGGGCTTGGGAAACTTGGACAAGGTGTGCAGCGAAAGTAAGGCGGGCGTTTTGAGTGGCCAACTGGCTCCCTAGGCGCTGTGCTTCGAGAGCCGACACTTCGTGATATCGTTTCTGTGGACTTTGAGAGGATGATACGAGCAGTAGGTCAACATGCTCCGCGATTTGCAGGGCATCGAGGGTGCTCAAGACTGTGGAAATGTCGCCCAGCGCAGGAATGTCTGCGATTTTCGCCCATTGACCACAAGAGACAGGGTAAGTGTGGCTGGGCAGGCTTTTCAAAGCTTCTTGTCGTCGATCCAGAGAAATAGCCTCATTCATGGCAAGGTGTTCCATCGCCAGACGTTGAGTGATCAGTGTATCGGCAGTGTTTTGCGTGTTTCCGAGATGGGCGGCGGCGGAGATCGTGGGAAGAACAGTTTGATCGATGCTTTCCTCGGGCGGACTTGTCAAACCAACCTTTGATGCTGACGGCGTCGCTGAAGGAACTCCGCCTGAATCATCTGGCACTAACACCCGTTTCGTAGACGTAGATTGCTGATGGCTGCCCATTGTGGATCCCTCTCCGGAGAATGACGCTGGTGGGCCAGGCAAAGCCCCCACAGGCGCTGGTGACGCGTCTCGGGAGCCGCATGCATCGCCCAACGCAGAGTCAGGTGACTCAAGGCACGTCGATGACACAGAGGAGTAGATGCCGTCTTCAGATCCGATGTGTTGGGAATTTGATGTTGTTTCGGGGACAGCCTTAAGACTCGTCGTCGCTTGTTGGAGTTGGTATAGCAGCATGGCCTGGAACCGCGCTCGTTCAGAAGCAGCATCCACAACCCAGGATCCGGCAGACGCTTGCTCCATAGTGTGCAGAAAGTGCTCCGGGTCATCAGCGAAGCGTTCCAAGCATACCAACATGTAAACACCGCAATCTTGGCCGTTGTTCTGCTGCGGAGAGTTTCGTGCATGCTTCCACTTGACCTGGTCTGGCGACAGAACGGCTCCTCGTTTCGACTTGGCCTCTAAGATGAGGTATGTCCAGAGCTGATTGGCGATCAAGGCGTATGATTGCCCGCCAACTGAATTGAGGCTATCCACCGTGCAAATCTCGAAAGGTGACGCCGTGCCTCCGGTCAGGGGGGCCATGGTGATGATTGCCAAGGTCCAGTGATTGCCGTCTTTGTTGATTGGGACCAAGAGATGCTTCTTGGTAAATATGTCTACGCCTTTGGTCCATTTCTCGACCTTGGCATAGTTGATAGTATCTTTAGTTCCAGAGAGTGTAGCGAAGAAAAAGGTGGACATGCAGTGTATATCTTGCCGGCCAGCTAGAAGCAGCGTTGCAAGTCCGTTGACCACCTCGTCATTAAGCCAATTCTTGCCCGCCACAGTCAGCAAATCTTTGGGGGTGATAGGAGTTGCGCCAATCCAGACTGTGCCACCCACACCCGAGTTGTTTTGCGTATCAACCACTAGTGAATCCTCCATGACCAATGGCTCTGCGTTCAAATTCGAGTCCGGATCCGGTTCGGGAAATTGAATGGACGGTACTAGGGAGGATTCGCGGCTAGTAAGAAGGTAGGCCGGAGGGGATTCGAGGTCCGAGATCTCGAATTCATCTTCATTCCCTGGGTTCGGTGACTTGGTATTCCCGCGACCAATCTCCACCTCAACTTCCCAGTCACTGTCGCCATGGCCCCCCTCTTCCCCATACAAGTTCTGCTCGTGGTCATCGTCATGACTCTCCTCTTCCTCCTCGCGACCCGGCCCGTCGTCCTCCTCCTCCGCAGCATCAGCTTCGTCAACGTGCTTTCCGCCCTCCGCAGATCCATCGTTCGCGCGCAGCGATGTAAGATGTGTTTCGATCGCCCCCTGGAACTCCATCGACTGATCGTGGTCACTCGCATTGTCATCCCCGGCCGATGTTAGGCCCGTCAGCACTCCGTCCTCCGCCGCGACCTCAAGTCTCCCTATAGACTCCGACTTGTGGGGTGTGGGCAAGGAGGTGTGGCCAAGCAAGATCTCTTCCGCCTTCAACGCGTCCCAGGTCGTGAATCGGGACATGTCAGTGCTCACGCCGCGCAGCGACGCAGTCCCCCGAGTCATTCTCCCGGCATGCAAGGCATTAAGGAGCTCAATGAAGCCGGTGTGGGGACGATTCTTCGTGATCCGAGCCAGTATTTCCAGAGCATCCCGCGATAGCATGAAATAGTCTCCCAATCCCAAAAACAGAGCCCAGTAGTCTTCCAAGTGCAGGCGTTTGATCAAGGTACGGAGCACCTTCTTGCTCCGCTCGTGCAAGCTATTGTATAATCCTCCGTATTTCAACTCGGCAACGAGTCGCAGTATGGGCCACAAGACCCTTCCTGGCGCGAGGATCCAGGCTTGAAAGCATGGCATGCTGGCATCCACCTCCTGGTCGTAGGCCTCTTCGAGTTCGGTCCACTTCTGAAGGACAGCGTCGACACAGGTGGTTTTCAAACTAGCCAATGCTTCTTGCAGACCCATATTGTGTTGTATTGATGTGAGGTTGGCCGAGGTCGTGAGGTTGGGAATGGACTCGGCGAAAAGCGAAGAGGAGGATGATAAGGAGGACGACGACGAGGAGATTGACGTTAAGTTGGGGTAGATCGAATCGGAAGGCAAATGAATGGACTCGATCAAAGAGGAGCAGAAGGCGAAAGAGAAGGTTGGAGTGAAGTTGAAAATGATCGTAAGGTTGACGTGAGGTTGGCCGAGATCGTAAGGTTAGGAATGGACTCGGTGAAAGGCGAGGGGGAGGATGATAATAGGGCGACGACGAAGAGATTGACGTTAACTTGGGGTAGATCGAATCGGAAGGCAACTGAGTGGACTCGGTAAAAGAAGAGCAGAAGGCGGAAGAGAAGGCTGAAGTGAAGTTGGCAAAGATCGTGAGGTTGACGTGAGGTTGGACAAGATCGAGAAAAAAGCAGAAAGGACTCGGCGAGAGAGGTGGAAGAGGAGGAGAAAGAGGAAGAAGAAGAAAAAGAGAAAAAGGAGGGGAGCGGAGGCTTGAAGTACTGCGGCGGGAGGCAGACAGCCCCTTCTGCGATTTACTTCATGGTGTTGAGCCGGCCCTCACCTCCTTCCTTACCATCGAGCGGGGTGCCGTGCGAGGGCGATGATAGGAAGGAAGGAGAGCAACATCGAAGAGGAGGGGAGTCAAGGCTTGGTGTGGTGCGGCGGGAAGCAGACAGCAGATACTCCTTCTGCGCTCTGCTTCAAGGTGTTGAGCCGGTCCTCGACTCCTTCCTTCCTAATAAGCGGGTTGCCAGGGCGATGGGAAAGGAGGGCGACATCGTAGTTGCAGTTGCGATTGCGGTTGCGATGACGGAGGATGGTGTAGTAGTGTGGTGGTATGGTAGTGTGGTAGTGTGGTGGTGCGGTGGTGTGGTAATATGATGATGTGGTGATGTAGTGGTATGATGGTATGATAAGGAAAAGAAAGAAAGTTAAGAGCAGAGGGAAGGAAAGATGAAGGTGAAGGTGGAGCAAGGGACGTGCGTATCACGTGCCACACTATCTATGCACTCTACATTCCCCACATTCCCCGCATTCCCCACATTCAACCACGGGCCAACTGAGCGAGGGAGATCACGGGAGCTGCCGTAGGTCATGGCAACAGTCGACTTAGCCGCGCGGGAACTAGGTCGACCAGATCGACTCGACGACGGATCATTTTCCGGATTATCACCAGTACTTCGCAAGTTCCATCTCTTAGTTCGGCCATTCTTCATCTCACCAGTGCCCAATATCGCTATCATACCATAAGATACTTGCGCCTTGATGACGGTCCACAAAGTGATCGGAGGTAATCGCCTCGCACTCATATACATATCTGGAGCTTGAAGTGGCCAGAATCGTGGCCCGAAATATAATAGATACAGCGTAAGATAAGAAGGATCAAGCTGCTGTAGTAATACATCCTATCAATACCATCATCCTCGTCACTACTATTCTACATCAAAACTGCCATTGATTACACCCACCAAATCATTCCTATCATGACCATTCCTACAGTCTTTCTCAACATTATCAACACTATCACCACTATCACTACTATAGCCTTCACCACAACCATTATCCTCCTCATTATTAGCAAACACTTACTAATGACTCCGGCGGAAGCAGACAATCCTCCCATCTACTCCCTATATCCGACAGCTTATTCTTCGCCATCTTACTCTGCCGTATACCGAAATTCTAATCTTGCCGCCAGTGCTCCGCGACATGCGAAGTCGTGGCTCCCACCCATGCAACCCCGAGCCTGGACCAACGAATACAGACGCGCCATCTCGTGTATTGAGGCATGCCACGAGCGATAATGCGTCGTCATATGGTCAAGGTAGCCCGGGCTCCGCCCAAGCCGGAACAGGTTGTCGTTCATGGCGCTAAGGACTTGGACGGCCGACTTCCACCTCTGGACGGCAGCCTTGAGGTAGAAGTCGGCCTCGTGCTGGACGCCCTCGAGCTCTTGCAGGTCGCGCTACTGGCCGCGAAGCCGGATGCCGGCGTGTCATCCTCCAGGCAACCGCGCCGCCCGTGGCCACCTTTGTGTCCTGGTTCTGCATCTGGGCTGCCGCCTTACGGCTGTGGCTGGACTTCTAGAGAAGGACGTCGAGGTGACCAGCCCCGCGAACTCGGTGGCGAGCAGCTGGGCCTCGTTGCTCAGCCGCTTCTCAGCTTCGCTGCCGAGTCGAAGTATCGCGTCGAAGCGCAGACGGGATGCCAGAAAAGGTCGTGGCTGGGAAAAGTATGGTTCGCCTTGGAGAGAGTGTATTGATACCCTTGCTAAAAGGCGAAAGAAGGATGCCGCGTACTTAGTTAAAAACCAGATGTTAAGATTTAGAAGATGGATTGTACAGCATGTGCCCGAGGTAAGCGTCGCAGTAAGCTCTACGACCTCCCATATGGAATTGGCAAGTGTCCCGTTGCTTTCGATCCCGATTTTATCAATCTGACGATGGTGATATGCTGCTGCGGCTCCCGAGGAGCGATTACGGTTGGATCTAGAGGTAAGGGGCGGATCGGAGCTGAAGCTGACGCTGACACTAATGGTAGGTTTAGTGTTGTCGTGTTTCGTGCTGGGATGGGACTTAAGGCTGGCGATGATGGGATGGCTCCTTTAGTGATGCGCCTGTCCTTATCCTCTCCCATCGTCCCTTTATCTCGCATCTCCTCTTATAAGACGTCGCCGATACTACGCATGGACACACCACCGCTCCACCGCGCCATAGCTCGACGAGCCGCCACTTGACGCTGTCAGCGCATCGCTCTTCTTCGCCATCGAGCGTAGAAAGCAGGCTCTCCTCTCCATAGTCCACGAGAGAGGCATATTTCAAAGTAGGTCTCCTGGCGACAGCGTTCTTATTCCTTAACGAAAAGGGAGGAAGAGGCAGATGCCGAAAAGGACGTTGATCTAGATTCGGGATTAGTGTCATCATTGCGAGGTAGCTAAAATGAATAGATGAATAGAAGAACAAGATTAGTTGTTAATAAAAAAATCTATAAAGAGAGATTCATCACAACTTGCTGACCTCAGTTAATAGACAAACGGAACAGATGAAAGCACGTAGGTGGTTGGGTGCCGCCGCGGTACGGAAGCTTAGGCATCCCGGACCTGCGCGGCCCAAAAACCCGAGCGGGCAATACCAAGATCGTAGAGAAGTTCAGTATCGTGGTACAATAACCTGGAGGCGTCGGGACAGTTAGTGACGGGTCACAGGGAAAAAAGAAGCTCGCTTCTAGCACTCCTACTCCGATCTCAAAACATCGGATCCATTTGTTGCTAGACTTGTCGAGAATCCTCTTCTTCTACCACGCAGTCTGATCCCATGACCTCGACCATTCCGCCAAGCCCCTTGCTATATTATCTGATTCCCTCAATCAATTTGATGCGAACCTTGTCGTTGACCCTGATCATCCTGCCAGGTCCTTTTCTGCAGCATACTCGCAGCTGCTTGTACTCGACCAGGCTGCTAAGCCCTCCCCTCTGGCCGCATCATCGTTTACCATCTCCCCCCAGTGCCGCACATAGAACAACATCGTCTTGTGTGCTAACCTGCACACGGCTTTACCCTTATCTTTCTCTGCTGCTGTTGCCGTGTGAGTTGATCCTTCGCAATCCAACTCCTCCAAGCCTAAATATCTCTTCCCTCAAACCCTGAGCGGCGGTCCTCGTAACTGTACGAGGCTAACACGGCGAATAAGGTCGGACCGCGGCTCGTAGTGTTCGAGAAGGCGAGGCTCTTGGAGACGGCGCGTGTTACGATAGCAGCGGAGGTATGTCCGTCCGATGGGAGGGAACGGCTTACGAGACCAGGAGTCATGAAAGGCTCACGATAGAGTCGATGGCAGAACCTGTCATGCTTAAAAAGCATCAGCTGAACTGCGGGCTGCCGTTCCTCCCAGCTTATAAAAGTGGTGACCGATCCAATTCAGTTGACTCTTAGCATCTTCGTACGTCGTCGGACTCTCGAATCCTGACCGACGATACAGCATCGAACGACGGTATCTTCGAACTCACGGCATTGATTCGTACCGCTTAAACCACCTACCTATATGAGTAACAACGCCAACCATACCAATTAGACTAACTACACTAATCACCACACTCACCACACATACTCTGTTATCAAGGACCGGGGATTAAGCACGGAGGAAGCTTAGCGCAGTTGCTGCCTATATACTCGATATGACTAGCAGAAGGATTCGACAGCGGAAGGGAAAGGAAAGGGTCGGTCTTGATTCCGATAGGAAAGGGCGAATGCCGAAGAGCGACTTAACTCCCTTTCTGTCATGGGCCATCTCATCCAAGACTGCATGCCTTGCGTTTGCGATTATTGCCAAAAGAAAAAGAGGCGAACATCGAAGAAAGGCTGAAGGATATCGATTTTTCGAATAGAATCTCGTCCGATGCTATAAGCGATTGATGGAATAGATGTTCAAAAAGTTCAAGCAATCCATCTCGAAGGAAAACCATGCCAAACGGAGTCTATCACCAAGAGATGTGAAGGTCAGCTCGGAGTCGGATGATGGCGAACTTCCGCCTTTAGTAAAGGCATCTCCCGTTTGCAAAGCGAAAGGACAACTCAACTCCTATTCTACCGTGGATTACCTATTGTAAGATAACGTGCCATCACCTACACCTTCTTATACGAACGGCCATTAGGGTACTCGGTCCTGACGCTGTCTGCTTTACCCCGCTATGGAGCTGCTGATTCTTTAATTCGAAATGGCGCGCTGCAATATCCCCTTCCCGTTTGTTCGTCTGTCCGTTCATATATTGGATCCTGACGACTTGCAAACGTAGCAGCGGCTACAAGAGAAGATGAGACGCGGGAGCGGGAGCGGGAGCGAGAGCGGGAAGTAAAGCCGATTACCGGAAACCCCGAAAGTAAGGCTGCTAGTGATGATAGATACGAGAAGACGGATGATAAGGATTAGGATTAAGTCGTTGCTGCGGTGAACATGAGATTCGACGACCTCACGGCAAGCAGCATTACCTTACGTATTATAAGGCAAATGAATCAAACATAGGTCAACGCACATCGCTTTCTATTCATTCATCTTGTTGCATATAATGCTGCGGGCACGGATTTATACATGTTTATACCTACCGGATAAGTGAGTAAAAATAATACGTACTAATAGCCGATGCTCCGTTTGTCACCGCTCTTACAATTCCATCTTTCCCTTCGCTTCTTCTTCTCGCTTTCTCTGTCTCTCTTGCAAACGCAACAAGTTATACGTATTCTCTCGCCTCCCTCCTCCCTCCTTTCCGTCCCTTCGTTCGCATATCGGTCTCAGATCTGATAGTATCAAAATTATATTAAATCAAGCCAGCTAAGCTATAATACTATTGCTCTTCGCTTCTTTCCATATTTTCGTTTATCTATTCCATCATTTCGTTGAATTCTTTTGTCTTCTTGTAAGCCAGTACCGCTACTATCACCGCTATTATCACCACTATCACTACTACCACTATCACTACTACCTCCCCTTTTCTCCTCTCCCCTCTACCCATCATGTCGCGTGATCATCCATTTACTGGCCGCTCGTCTCGACCGTTTCTCTTATCTCCGGCTCTTCTTTTCTCGTCTTCTCGATTCGACCTTCGGCTTAATCATTTATATAAGCCAGAAAACGACGAAGACTTTAAATATCTCAATCTTACGCAAAACGATATCGATAACGACTTCCAAATACCAACGTCGCCTCCTCTTCTTACTATATGCCCCAAAAGCGCAATCGCACCAAGCCTTCTTTTGCTCCGGCCTTTGCTGCTCCTAGCGGTCACGGGCCTAGCACTCGTGATATCGCCTTTTGGGACCGACCTCTGATGCCCCGATCGACGGGCAGATCACCACCGCCGAAAGCACTATCGCCGCTGCGCATACTATCATCACCACAAAAGAGATACTCGACGACGTTAAGACCGGCTGCATCACCAAGATCAGCATTATAGTCACCAATAAGATACCTACCACTAGGATCACCAATACCAATGTCACCACAGATGATATTCCCGCTAACGCCAAGACCGGTTGCATCACCAAGATCACTACGAATCTCGAGCGAGCACGACGGATCTTTTAAACAGATTACAATACGTATTTCTATCGAGGCCGAAAGATCTTCGGAAGAAAGCTCGGTGCGTGTTAATATCGAATGTGAATAATCTTTAGATAGAAATCCGATGCGTGTTTTTATCGAGCATAAGAGACCGTCGGGAAAGAGTATAATACGTGTTTCTATCGAGCACGCAAGATCTTCGAAAAGAAGGTTTGTTCGAGCTTCGGGCGGGCGGAAAAGATCTTTAGATGAGGAGATGTCGATGCACGTTTCGGGCGGGCACGGAAGCTTTTTAAAAGGAAAGTCGGTTCGAGTCTGGGGCGAGCGAGAGAGATCTTTAGACGAAGGGAAGTTGATGCAAGTCTCGGGCGGGCGGGAAAGCTTTTCGAAAGGAAAGTCGGTTCGGATCTCGGGCGAGCGAGAAAGATTCCTAGATGAAGAGAGGTCGATGCAAGTCTCGAGCGGGCACGGAAATTCTTTAAAATGAAAGTCGATATAAGTCTTAAGCGGGCGGGAAAGATCCCTAGATAAAGGGATATCGATGCACGTCTCGGGCGGGCGGGAAAGCTTTTCGAAAGGAAATTCGGTTCGGGTCTGGGGCGAGCGAAAGAGATCTTTAGATGAAGGGATGTCGATGCAAGTCTCGGGCGGGCGGGAAAGATCCTTAAATAAAAGGAGATCGATGCAAGTCTCGGCCGGGCGGCAAAGATCTTTAGACAAAGGGATGTCGATGCAAGTCTCGGCCGGGCGGGAAAGATCCTCAGATGAAGAGATATCGATGCATATCTCGAGCGGGCGGGAAAGATCCTTAGATGAAGAGATATCGATGCACGTCTCGGGCGGGCGGGAAAAATCCTCAGATAAAGAGATATCGAGGCTCGTCCCGAGCGAGCATAAAAGATTTTGGTGTAAAAGAACGAAGCGCAAGCATCGAGCGGAAGCCGAAGCGGACGCGGAATAAAAAAAAAAATATTAATCGAACATAATTTCTTTTTCTAATCTGCTTTTAACTAATTGTTCAACATCGGGCTCTTAAGCACTTTTGATAATAACGGAGTTCTTCTATTCCTAGCATTGCACATAATAATGCGCCGTGCTAGCTGGCAGCTGCTCGTAGAAAGAGAGCTGACGCTTTACTTTATACGAACTGCGGGCTTCAGCATTGACTCTTCCTATTTAAGCTTTCCACCTTCAAGTAAATCGGCTGACTTCAGTCCGGCCTTGACATTGGTCGTTATGCGACTCGCATAGCCACGCTATAAGCTGACTATAGAAGTCTGTACCTGCCTGACTTTCTTTTATAATATTCCCTTGACGAGAGATTCCTTTTTATTGTAATCCATCCTATCCGCAAGGAAAGGGCGCAGACGATAATAGCTTTCGCTGCAATACCTTGAATGGCTTTCTGAAGCCTTTTTGTCTGTAACTCCTTAGCTTAATACGTCGCCGTACTTTATAAGAGGTCTCAGGGCGGCAGGCTTCGCTTGCTACCCGCCCGACGAAAATAAATATAATGATAACGATGATAACAATAACAACCTTCAAGTAAATATACCGCTCATATGCAAGAACAACGCTTCAAGATAATATAAGATAAATATATACGATTTTTAGCCTTCGATCGGGACTTTGTTTACTCGCTTATTTATTATTATTTATCGTTTTTATTTTTATTTTTGTTTAATTTGCTAATTGCGAGCCAAACAAGCCTTAGTCCGTACAACTTCTACTATTAAGTTAAGTTGATCTTATTTAAGATCAATTCAAGTGCTTAGTTGCACGGACCTGCAACTGCGAGCCAAACACACCCTTAAGTCTTAAAGGAGAATATGGTTGTACCGGTTGAGCTTGGTACCGATTGTTATAGTAGTGCCAAGGCCTCACGGGCCATCATGCTTGTCCTTAAATCCGAGTTTGAGTTTTTAACTCCGACTTCTCCGTGTCCCTCGTCTAATATTCCTACGGCTGGTCGTCAAAACCAACATCGTAATAAGTAGCAGTACCAAGCAGAATTAATCCTTTTTAATATCGAAGCGGATAACTCGGAGTCTGACCGGCTTGATCCCCACTTGCAAGAATGAGTTTCAGCTATTAAAGGCGGCTGCGATCTAGGAATACGGTATTGCTTGGTCAATGGTTATCGGCCCTTTGCTTGGTCGTTAAAAGGGTCAAGACGATCAAGATTTATGCGACGTGACGAGACGAGATATGCTTTCCTTTCGAACGGTATTCGTGTGGCTAGCATATCTACTGATAAAAAAGATTGCAACGCTTTATATAATTGGCTATGCTTGAATTAAATAGATTTGACTTTATGTTTTGGATTATTTTCGATATAAGGACAGCCTGAAATACTGCTGGCCGCACGAGTTCGAAGAAACAGTCAAGAAAGCTGCTAAGGACGGATCGACCCGAGCGTTGCATATACCGGTACATATGCTTTTTTTATCATTACTATTATTATCTTCTTCGATTTTAGCTATGCATCTAATTTAATCCATTATCTATAATCTCTGCATTTATTTAATTTTATTTAATATCTAACCCGAAGCAAAGCCGCACGAAAATATATTTAGCATTTGCATCTCGAAAAGACGAGATGGAAAAAAAAAAAGGTTAAAGAACCCGAGGTGCGCGAAATAATTCTTAAGGCTTAAGAAGAGCATTACCGTGGTCGACTCGATTAATGAATAGAGCCGGAGCTAGAGCTGGACTTGGACCTGGACCTGGACCTGGACCTGGACCTGGAGCCGGAGCTGGAGCCGGAGCCGGAGCCGGAGCTAGAGCCGGAGCTGGAGCCGGAGCTGGAGCCGGAGCTGGAGCCGGAGCTAGAGTTGGAATTAGAGCTGGAATTGCAGTTTCCTTGCATTCTAGCAGCAGCAGCAAATATAAGTAAATATGCTATTTTATTTAAGCTGGCTGCCAATCTATGACAAAATGGTAGTTGAGTCGCTTTTCGGCACCGCACACCTCTTATTCGGCGGTCTTGATTACTGCATAGTAATCCTCCGCTATAGCATTAAAGAGGAAAGGAAAGGAAAGGAGAAAAACCGAAAGGGGGAGGGAGCTTATATACTTGATACTGGTTGAGGCTAAGAAATTCTTTAAAGAAGGGACATCGCATTAAAGGGCGCAAGAGCAGCCCGAAGTATCGCTATCAACCAACAACGGCAAAGAGAAACAATAGAGAAGGTGAGCGGCTCATTTAGATCGAGAGCTAGCAGCTACGGTATATTTGCTAGCTAATTTAGTGACGTGATCCGCGAAAGGACGACTTAAGGATAATGGTCGCGGCTGCTGGTTAATATAAATATATACAACGTGATTTACAAGAATAAATACTAACAAATATAAAAAACAAGATAAAGAAATACTGGCTTTTTAAGCAACCGGAACTGGACAGGCTACTTTCTCCGGAACTAGAGTTTTTATTGCCGTCAAAACCGGCAAGCTTATCTTCGACGACTTTAGTAGCACGGATGCTTGCTAGAGCGGCATCGGTGGCTCGGACGGCCAGCTCAAGTTCCTCGGCGATACGTTCTTCCGCAGCAATATGGTCGTGTTCGCCCAAGGCGCTGCGGAAATCAGAATTAAAAGTCGAAGGGTTTATTGATTTGAGTGAAGGAAGAAGGGAAAGAAGGGAAGATGGGAAAGGAGGGGAAAGAAGGAAAGATAAGAGAGGAAAGGAAAGGTAAGGTGAGGAAAAGGGAAGGGGAAAGGGTGAGGGCTGATTTCCAGATTTATTTTTAAGACCATGTTAGCGCATTCAACTGCTTCTTTAAGCTCATTCCGATGCCGTAAAGAAACCATCCTCGGTACAAACTCGATAGTCTTTATCGTCGTTGGTCTTATCTTTAATCGACGCGTTAGTCTCGTACATCGGCATATATTTAATGCACGGCATTTTAGTGTAGCTAGTTTCCGCGCAAACCTCGAAGCACCGAGAAAGCATTACGTTCCATACGGATATCGATATCTTTAGATTTGACCTTACATTTACTTCGGAACGGGCGTCTTTGATACGTAAATAAACGACACCGACATAATCTGCTCGAATGTCGACACTTGCTTCCCTTTAAAGGTCCTCGCGGTCGATAACGACGAGTTTATATTATACTCGTGCTAGTAACGGCCTTGAGGATCAGCCGGACATCGATATCTTTAGGTCTAACTTCATATTTACTCCGGAACGGGCGTCCCCGATACGTAAATAAACGATACCAACTTAATCTGCTTAACGAATGACGACGATTGCTTCTTTTTAAGAGTTTTCGTGGTCGATAACGACGAGTTTATATTATACCCGTGCTAGTAACGGCTTTAAGGATCGGCCGGATATCGATATCTTTAAGTCTAATTTCACATCTACTCCGGAACGAGCGTGTACGACTAAAGACAAGCCTAAGCACCAGCAAGCGACCTTGACGGCGGTAGAAATTCCGATGAAAATTTACTAAGAAGAAATAAAGGCCACGGACACGGATCAGACGGACACGGAGCAGACGGACACGGAGCAGACGGATACGAAAGAAGAGGAAACGGACGAAAAAAAGGTAGAAACGGACCGCTTTAAGGCACTTGTGCTACGACGATGACTCTAATAAATTCTTAATACCATACGGATTCGCGAGAAAAAGAAAAGACGAATTATTAAAAAGCAGCATCATCAATCAGAATTTCTCGAAAAGCGAGATCCAAAAAAGCCAAATAGCTAACTATTGCTTTAGAAGCTGATCAACGAGACGAGGCCGACCAACGGCTTTAAGCTCGTCTCGTCGCTTGCTCTGCGGATCAACGTCGGCCCGAACGTGCCGCCCAATGGCTCAGCGTACGTACCGAGAAAGGTCCTTAATAAAGCCAACTTCATATCCATCTCGGAGAACAGGTTCTGCAGCACAAGAAAGATAGAGTTGAAAGAAATAGTGATTATCGAGCCACCTTCCGCAGATACACGACAGCAAGACCCCGCTTAAAATGGCCCTCGCCCTTCAACGCGTCGATTCTACCCTCTTTTCGTTAGAGCTCAAGACCTTGACGAATGCGGACTTCGATAGAAACGAGATTAGCAGATCGTGCCTTTGATTAAAAAGAGGTCGAGAAGGCGCTCGAGAATTAAAGGAGGATTTGGCTGACCGACAGACCCAAGGGCGTGTTCGAAGCGCTAATCCCAACGACTATCGAGCTGGAGGCCGACCCGGCGATATTCATTACGATAACTTAAAGGAAATAAGGACGCACTCGAGTTAGAATGTATACGGGCAAATACTTTTCGAGCCTAAGTCATGGAACTATATATACACCTTATGATGTCCGAGAATTACTAGAAGATGTCTATCGCGAGGAGCGAGGAAAGGATCTACTACACGGACCTTAACAAGAACGGATTGGCTGGCCCGTACGGCCGTACGGGTACATAGGTAAGAACTGGCATGATAGTAGGGTCGGGTGTTAATTATAAAGAGGACAATATCGAGTCTTTTCGTCGGCCTTGCTTACGATGCCCTTAATAAACTTCCCGACCTTAATGCACCCGTTGACCTGCGCGACCGCGAAGTTGACCATTACCGTATACAGGACCGGCATAGACGCAAGCAAGCATAGCATCGCTAGGACGAAAGGTACCCGCGATCTGCACGCTATTAGGATCGATGAAGGATGGCTGTTCGGGAACGGGCGACGGCGCGAACTTGGAAATAAACACGGTCCGCAAACCGAACACCGCGTAAAACTCTTTGCTCCTTTCGACGCTGAAATGCATTGCGATAATAAGGTCGCCGTCGAGATTACCGCACTCGTCGAAGCGGTCGATAACGTCAAATTCACGGATCGGGAGAAGATAGCCATCCCGTACTTTTTCGTCTACTTAGCAGAAAACAATCGGCATCATGAGAAACGGCTCGATGGAGATCCTCCAGTTGGTTGACTTGGGTTTCGACTAAGAATCGGACATAAGTGGACTTGGTGACGGCTTTTGTTTGCAGATAGGAGGAAGAAGAAGAGACTATGTCGGCGGCATAAAGGAAAGGGATCGGTGAAAAGTAGCGATGATGATAGACTATTGAGCTGTGATATGGTATAGAACTAAGGCTGGAATGTTGTTTGAAGCTGAGTATCTGTCCGTGCTTACAATTACTATTGTATCTGAAACAGGGTCGAGGTTAAGTGGACAAGAGGTTGGAGGATGATGAGTGTCGATGGCTGAAAGACTTGGACCTGGATTCGTATACTAATTATTTCATTTGATGCATCTAGCATTATAGCAACGCCAGCAACATCAGCAACACCAGACCCTTGCTATGCGCATCACGAGCTGCAAACTATCGACGTCACCTCCACCGGCCCAAACCAAAACTATGCTTGAACGATGAAGCTTATACAGCAACCATGCCACCCGTCTTCTTATACTCTTGCAGCCCCTCGGGAAACGTCGACCTGTTACACACTCATCAGACATCTTCCTTAGAATCAAGCATCAGCAACTTACGTGATTGTCTCCTCGGGCTCCCATGTAAGATAGTCTACGAAAGGAAACTCGTCCCATTCTACGAGATATTCCACGCCTCTCGCGGTCTATACGCTCGTCAGTAACGAAGCAAGGAATCCATACCTATGTATCTCACGCGACGGAGCGCACTCACTTTCCGACCGGCCCACACCCTCACCAGCTTGTATTCTTGGTATTGCCACCTCAGAGACCAGTACGGCTTCCACTTGGCCACGGCGCCGGGCATCGGCTCCCAAGTCAACGCGTCCGTAAAGTCTTCGTAGCACCAATGGATAAGAGCGTGTCGAGTAGGTCTGGTGTCGCCGGGTGCCTAGACAAGAGAATGTTTGTTAGCTGTGTGTAATCATCAAGGGCAAGGGCAGGAGCAAAGGATAAAGGAGGCAGCGTACGATCCGCATCTCGGTCGCGAGTATATGTTTGATCGTGTACTCCTTGGTAGGGTCATGGTCGGTGTCCTTCGATGGTGTGCTAAGCCGAACGCGTGGGCCACCTGAGATAGCTGGTTGCGTCTTTTGATCATGGCTGGTCAGTGCCAGAGCGGATTGTAAAGTTAAATGTGCTGCCATAGCTGGGTTCGCCTTGAGTTCGAGCTTCAGATTACCTTCGTTCTGGAGAAGTGATGAAGATGATAATGGACTAAAGCAGTTAATATCGCTGCAGGTAGATGTGATGAAAATCTGATGTTGGTGTGTTGTGAACAGGAAGTAAGATCAAGAGGATCAGAGGAAGACAAACGGGAATCGTTCATTCACAGCCGACCCAAAAAAAAGAGACGCGCTGTGCCGCGCGACGGAGAATTGAATATTGCGGAGCGAGGGCACGTGAGATGGCGGGACCAAGGCAACTCAGCCCTCAGCCCCAACCCAGCTTAGCTCGATCTGATAAGGAATCCCAGTCGAGGGTAACTAAGGTTCGGCCCGCCTCGAACATCTTCTTTGCGTACTACGTAGTACTTAGGCCTGTACCGTAGTATTATCGTTACATGATTGGTAGTACTCCTGGCACAAGGGCCCTGGCAACGGAAACCTCTACTGTAGAATTGCGCTCAGACAGCGTATGTACGTTATTTCGGGCTTGTACCAGGTACGTAAAATAATGCGTTCAGAGTACCGAAACCAAATGACGAGCGGGCCACGTCCCTTTTCTGCAGTGCTCGACGCATAGTCAATAATAAGAGAAAGCAGAATGTAGAATCAATGCAAATTGCAAAGGAATTAATTGTGTTTACTTGTCATTTACCCCAGCTTCTCATCAAGCGCATGATAATTATTTCGGATCATCTCAATTCTATAGTTGCACGGACGTGCAATTATGAGCCAAACAAGCTCAGCTAGCTGCTTCCGCGAAAAGGAGACAGCAGAAGCTTATATTTATCTAAGCAACTATCCACTTGTTTGGTCCGCACGAGTATCGTGCGGCATAAAGTCTGCCCGCTTAAAGCGAAAATCTTGAAAATGCACAATCCTGCATCTTATTTAAAGCAATTCTCGCTTGGGCGGGCAGACTTCATGGCCGTAAAAGTCGTACGGATAAAACAATTAAATTCGGTTTGAAAAAGACGAATTAATAATATTTTTTCTTTTTCTTCTCAACCTTTAATCTTTATTTTCTATCTCTATCAATTCCTTTTAGCTTTCCGGTCCTTCTTAATTCCTTCCACCTTTATCGGTTCATCAATATCGACCGGTACCGATAGATTGTGTGACGACACGCCAGGTCTCTTGAACGTATCTCTATATGCGCTAAGCTACCTTCTTCCTTTCTCTTTACCTTGCATCTTTTCCCTCGTATTCTTCGTATTTTCTCATTCCCTTCTTTCGACCTATGAATCATAGTTCACGAGTCCTTGGCGCTCTTACCTTCGAGTATATAAACCTCAGCTACCTTCGACCTCTACACTCGGTAATTATTAATTCTAAGTCATTACTTTAAGATCTTCCTAAGCTCCTATATGAGCCCCGCGCTCTCGTGAGTTCCTTTAAGTAATCGCTTAAGGTCGTCACAGATTGCTTAAAGAGATGGATACGGCTCGCTTAGCGAGCCATATATATAAAGACCCCCAACTTCCCCGTAAACACTATCGTATAGCTAGTCAATGCAATTCCTTCTAATCATATAAAATGGGTTTATTCTTTTAATTCTCGAAAAGTGATCAGAAATCAGATACTATCCAAACCCATTGTTTTGTAATTGCAAAAGACCACGTGCTCTGCACCTTAGTAAGATACGAGGGAAGAACGTTCGCTACTAGCGAACCGATAATCCTAGAACTAATATTAAGTCTTCTTTACCGCCCTTTTCTTATGCTACGACGCCTCTTCCAATGTTGCGCCATCATACTTCGTCTTTCCTTTTCTAAGATTCTATTAATAAACATGCAGAATAGTATCAATCTTAAAACGATTAACCTTTGAAAGAATACCAACTTCAAAAAAACGGCGGCCAACCTTAAAAAGATTGACCCCAAGATAAAGAACCTCAAGATCAACTTCTATACGTACTTTAATATCGACACGCCCACGAAAAACCACATCGAAATTAACCACCACAACTATAATAACAATACTAAGCGAGATCCTATCATTAATCTTACGATCAACGCTTAAGCAATCTTTACTTTAAAAAAGATTGAGGTTCCAATATAAACTCCGTATCTACGCGATTATCGATATCGATAAGTAATGCTGATAATCAGCCGAAGGCTGCGGATAAAAATAAAAGCGGAGACCTTGGCAAGCTGATCGACGACCCGTATAGCATCGACGACTCGACGCATGCGACGTAAATAACGGTACCGAGCTTTATTACTTATATTACAAAAGGTCATCCTATCCTTTTAATATTAGAAAGCGGCCGATCGAGCGATACCGGTTCAAAGAAAAGCTGGGTCATAGCGGCTTTTATATCGTATAATGTCATGCGGGACAGTAATACCTTATAAGATTACCATATCACACCCGATAAAAAAACTTTATTTGAATACCTAGTATCCGTTTAACTACAAGGAAACCCTCGCTACACTTATAATTAAAATGAAGATCCGACAAGTTGAAGATTCTAATAATGCGTATTATAATCTCGTATTATATCGTATTTAAATCCGGGCTATTAAAGAGTCTTATTTCAATAGTAGCGTGGAATTATATATATTGATCCGAAAGAGCTCTTTAAAGCCTTAAAGATCAGTCCACTACTAATTCATACTTTTAAACTCTTACACTTCTATTTTTGCTTGTTTCTAAAGCTATCTTCTGATATATAGCTAGCGCGCGATTTCTGTTTTGTTAAGGCACAAACGTAGCTTCTAAGATCATAAAGCCGGGACTCGATAATAAGCATAAGTATCAAATGCATTAAAAAATTAAAAAGAACGCTTTTTTAAAACTTCTTATCTAATAGTTTGCCGAGACTTATTTACGCTGCTAGCTCGGAGCGGAGATCCGTACCGTATGCTAATGCTCTTAATAGTTTACGCGTCTTTAGCGCTTCTTTACTTTCGTATATATAATATGACGACCTTAAGCGATTACTTAAAGGAACTTACGAGAGCGCGGGGGTTCATATAAGAGCTTTAGAAAATCTTAAAGTAATAACTTAGAATCAATAACTGCCGAGTATTGTTATTATTATTGTTGTTGTTGTATTTATTTACGTCGGGCGGGTAGCAAGCGAAGCCTGCCGCCCTAGGACTTCTTATAAGGTACGGCGACGTGCTAAGCTAAGGAGTTATATACAAAAAGGCTTTAGAAAGCAATTTGTAATGCTATAGCGAAAGCTATTATCGCATGCGCCTTTCCTTTATAAATAAGATGAATCATATAAAAAGAAACCTTTCATTAAAGGAAAATTATAAAAGAGAATTAAGCAAGTATAGATTGCTATAGCTAGCTAAAAGCGAGCTATTTAAGTCGCATAGCGACGGGGGTCGAGGCCGGACCGGAATTAACCGAATATAAAAGAAAAGAAAAAGGTTTAATATAAAAGCTTAAACTTAAAAAAAAACTTAATATAATGTATTAATGCTAAAAAGAGTTCTTTCGAAACCGCATTACGCTATCTTAAAGTCTTAGTCTTATTATACGGTTAATCTAACGAGCTTTTATAGTTTTAATAAAGCGGAGCGTACTCCGTTCTTTTTATTAAAGTAATATTAATTATCTAAAATAGCACTTTTATCGAGTGCAATGCTTAAATTAAAACTTCGTAATAATTAAAAAAAGCTTAAAAGTCGGCCGAATTATTAAAAAAATCTTTAAAAAAATTATAAGCTTTCGAAATCGTACTCGAAAAGGTTTATAATCGAGGTTTATATAGCTAGAAGAAAAAGCGTCGTTGCGTAAATCGATAAAAAGCTAAATGCAAAAAGGATTTGCGTTTGCTATAAGCATACTTTAAATTAGCGTCGTAATATTAAAACTTAATAAAATATTAAGTAAAGTTTTCGTGTGTAATCCGGATCGCAAATAATTTATATAAAGTATATCGTAAAAGTTTTAATTTCGAAAAAGGCTTGATTAAGTATAAAAAGCTTTATTTTCGATACAAGCGAAAGAGCTTAAAAAAGCTTGCGCTTTATTACGCTTTTCGTACTTTATTTCGTATATCGCGAAAGAGTATGCGAATGCCGTTAATTATAAATTGCAACGCTAAATTAATATCTTAATTCGGTTTTTTTATTTTTAAGTTTGCAAGCTTATTCGCTTTTTCGTTTCTTTTAATGCTTATATGCTTTAAAAACTATCGTATTCGTACATTTCGAGTTTTTATTATTTTTTAAACGTTTAAAAACGCTTATTATAATAATAAAATAGCATTTTCGCGAAAACATTAAATAATTAATATATTATCGATATAAAACTAAATCCGTTTCGCCGTCGAATAAGCGTGCATCATTCGTTCGAGGCTTTTTTATGCTTTTATCGCTTTCGCGTTAAAAACGTAAAGGCAATAATTAATAAAATTATACTCGTAAATTATCTTTTATTGTTTTTAATAAATTACGTATCCGTAGCTTATTAATCGGCTGCTTAAATCGTATTGTTTTGATTCGTTTAAGAAAATCGTAATATCTTTTAACGAAAGCTATTATTCTTATGCTTTAAATGCGGCAATAGCTTTCTTTTTCGTTTTGCTATCCGCCGAATCTCGTTTACTTTTCGAAATAAAATGCGAAAAGACGAAGCGAAAGCGAAAGATATTTAAAAAAAGAGTTTTTCATTTTTAAATCTTAATCTTAAAAATCTTAAAAATCTTCGTACCGCGACCGCGTTATCGGATCCGCAAAAGTATTCGGCTAATTAATAGATATTATAGAGGGGAAGAGCTCCGACATATACTTAACGTTAAATCAAAAGATATATATGTATATAATCATGATAGAATCGTAAGTAAATAAGAAAGGAAAAGAAAGACGTTCGAAGACACTCGATTGTGTTTTATATATATGCGTATTGTATTATATAATAATATGATGCTGATTTAAAAAAGAACTAATTACTCGTTTATATAAAAGTATATACGTAATTTAATTACATGCTTAGCAAAGCTAAAATATACAGTGCATCTA